AAGCGCGAACCGGCTTATGGCAATATCGCAAAAGTACTAGAAAATNTTAAAAATGGCGTCGAAATGGCCAATCATAAGTTTGATTTATTCGGCAGCCATTTATAATAGACGATAAATCAATCTTATGATTGGCCATTTGCGTGTCCAATCAGGACTCGTAATACCGGTCGCGCTTCTCTGATAATCTAGGACTCTAGTCCCAGTTAAATCGCGGGCGGGTGATACCCGATTGACCACGTCCCGATTGACCACCAGCCACTCACAGCGCTTGAACAGTGGAAAATCTCTAGGCACCGGCCGCTGTGAGTGGCTGTGGTCAATCGGGACGTGGTCAAACGGGACGCTCCCATCGCGGGCATAGCACTAGGGAAATAATAGTTCGCCACAGTTGGTTGCGGTGACTGTTCTCTTCCCGGAGCCGACTGCCGAACTAACTTCCCGCTTGATTTTTTCGTCAGACGTCAATCCGGGACGTGTTCACGTCGTGAGAGTAGCGTAGCGTTATTGGCAGCCAGGTGAAAATTAAAAGTAACTTGATACGATTGACGGTTGAACGGTGACACGGAAATTTCAATCGAAAATCGCGATGCAGGACACAAAGAGACTGCAGGAGTTTATGGAGCTGGTCGGTCGGCTAAAGGTAAGCCACGAGACGATCATACACTTGCAGGCCTTGCAGCTGTCAAATCGTGACGTTCACGTTTACGGCTCGCAAGTGACCTCGGGTCTTTAGACAAAAGGATATTGGTTAGAGATTATTTCTGAAATTTCCGGGGAAGTAGAATATCGGAATAAAAGGAGGAACGAAGGGAGGGAAGGAAATAAGAGTGGTGCTGTATATCCAAAAAAAGAGGAGAAAAAATGGTATTTAATTATGTAAGAAGACGTATTGCTGCTTAGCATTTGCCTATGCCTATGAGACCATTCTTTTTTTTTTTTTAACATGATTGCATGTCAACGCCATTTTATCAGGAATCGTTAAAGGCGTTCAGGCGTTCTTGAGATTTGAAATTGTTATGAATAATATATAATTTTTCTTTTGACAATCTTGATTGTGTCACACAGGAATTGATTATGTCGAAGATATTTCATGTTTTTATCTCGATATGTTAACAGTCGTTCTCGACCCGAATCATCACGCAGGGACATAGAACTATAAAAGAGAAAAACAAAGAAATTTCCAATGTTTTTGACCTTACAGATATGTGAAACTATACATGCGTACATTATTTGACCTCTGGACAAAATATTAAAGCTAGTAAATAATTAAAATTAGTAATTTGAAAATGTATGGTAGATATTGTTCTTTGTAGTTGCAAATTAATATTAGCAAAGATATTTTATGTTTTTTATTTTTTATGAAAAATGTATCAAGAAGTCTGGTTTCTTTTGAACAAAAAGCTCTTTTGTACTCTTTTGATCTTAGGTTTGAAAATGAGAATTGAAAATATATGACGTAAAGTCAAAACAGAAAAGAAGAAAGGAAATTCATTAGCATTGATAGATTATTATTCTTTCAATCTGTTTATTTTCACGATTGTAATTATGTGACTACTGACTAATGCAATTAATGTGTTTTGATTACTTCATGAATCAACTGTGATATAATTCCCTTAGTTTAAATTGCATTTTGATAAACACTATGCGATTAAATGAACGGCGATTGAATGAATTGTGAGATTAGATATGTTGTTGAATCAACATAGTCCTGTAACAATGCGTCTTTGTGTGTGCCATTGATTTTTTTATCTCTCTCCTTATCGGAATGTGAGGCTCCATTTCAGATCTTGAGTTTCAAGATGACATTTTTACGATTAAGAAAAAGTAAAATTTTAAAACTCGATTTATCTTTAAAGTATCACTTAAAAAAAAAAGAATAATGGAAATGCATAAAAATAAAGAAAAAAAATAATATCGACGAAGAAATCTGTGTAGTTTGTTTTTATCTCTCTTATATATCAATATTTTTTTTATCTCAAAGAAAAGAATTTTGTAATATGTAAGGTAATATGTAATAACGTAATATAATATTTCCTGATCAGTGTTATTCTTTATTTTATTTTTTATTTTAAGAGATTTATTTCCTTGAATTTTGAAAGAAAATAATCTATATAATGATTTAAGCATTTCTTTTTAAGCATATGTTTTCTATTGTTATATTTTCCAGCACATGAAAAGGATGGGATGGGTAAAACGGAATATACCTGAACCTGAAACAATAGCTGGACATATGTATCGTATGGCAATGTTATCGTTTCTCGTGGATGGAAAAGAAAATTTAGACAAAACCAAGTGAGACATTATTATTATTATTATTATTATTATTATAGTATTCTTTTATAACTTGAAATTAATTTTCTTTTATAAAATTTAATAATTTAATTATAGACATAATTGATATAAATAATTATATATACATTTATATAATTATAAATAAAATTTATATATATTATAAAAAAAGATTAGCGAAATATAATTTTTTGATTTGCAGAATAATGCAGATGACGTTAATTCATGACTTAGCCGAATGTATTGTGGGAGACATAACACCTCATTGTGGCATACCACCGGATGAAAAACATAAAATGGAAGACGACGCTATGGAGGAGATTTGTAAGCTGCTAGGTGATAAGGGACCTGAGATATTACAAATATTTCGTGTAAGTAAATATCTTTGTGTTCTAATTGTTTAAATATCTAATTATATATTTAATATTTATTAATATTTATCTACTTTTTTTTCAAATTTAGGAATATGAGAAACAGGAATCTCCTGAAGCACAGTACGTAAAAGACTTAGACAGACTAGACTTGCTAATGCAAGCGTACGAATACGAAAAAAGGGACAACATTCCGGGAGAACTCGACGAATTCTTCATTGCGATTAACGGCAAGATCAGACATCCTTTTATCAACAAAATCGCCATTGACATAACCGAAGAGAGGGACAAGTTTTGTCGCAATATAAATATTCCGAAATAACAAAAATCGTAATTTAAAGACAAAAAGCTGGAAGCCAACTTTCAGATAGCTCAAATGATATTTTAAACGTTAGATCGGTTACTATGTCACGCGCTAAACAATGGCTATTAATGTTACACGTAATTTTAATACATAAGTTTTTGATATAGGTAGTATTATAAAACAGGCATGTAAAAATTGATTAAGTTATTTGATCGTTCATTGCGTAGAACTGGTCATATAGGCAAGTTTATTTATGTATTTCATATTTTTTTTGTCTTTAAAATAGTTTTTTCTCTTATTTAAAAGGAGTGTTGTGGAATGTAAAATATGTATGTGTACATTTTACATATCTTAATTATATTTATTGCAGTTAATTTTTGATGCAGTAAAGCGATTACCAAATATTACTTTTTAGACAATATTTCATAGAGAGATCGAG